ACGACGCTCTTCCGATCTCCCCAAAACCCCAAAACCCCACGTTGATAGTAAATAATTTGAAAAAGAATTGGCGATATTAGAAACTTATAGTAAAATTATAGAAATGCTATGATCATTAAGTTTTAATTTCCCATTCGTGATTAATGTATCTGATCGAAACATCAAAATTGGTGAGAAGTTTTCTCTCAAATTCAAATCCTTTGTCATATAATGAGAGATAATCTTCCATTATATTGAACTCACTTGCTGGATGACTTAGCTCTGACATTGCTACAACATAGATAGACAAAGGAAGTACATCATCCATCGCATTAAGCTCAAGCTATATAAGATTAAATTTTATGGCTAATATTTACTTTTCCTTTCCAATGATCCACAATAGTAGTCTTTAGTTATCCAAATGACTCGCTAATGCACTAAAGCTTTTCTCTTGGAGAAGAGAATTGCTGAATTTTTTCCATACACTTGATTGCTTCAGAGTAAGGTAAATCATTTTTAGAAAACATTGATAGGGCTCCAAGATTACTTGAAGTAGAGGTATTGTTAAAAAGCTATTCAGCATTAATAATGTTAAAATTTTGATCTGATCTGTGAGAATCATACTAGCTGTTGTTAGTTAAGTCTTTGATATGATCCTCAAATTTTTATGTGTGAGGCAGATTTTCTCCGATAATAAACTGGTCTTTGATTCCTAGATACTTCATTATGTCATGAGCCTTTTATCTTCTAATTAACTAGCTTCTTTCAGAGAATAACTTATCCTCTTCTTCATTTTTAATAGCATACATTGCAAATAATTTATCATAAAGCTACAACATTATTTAATATATAAAGATAAAATACCTTAGAAAAAACGTATTTTTCCACTGAAGGCCTGCAAAATGGCATTAATCCTTAAGCAGTTTGCTTTCCTAGATTATATTCAGAGTTAAAAGATTATACTGTTTCCTAAATAAGACTCATTATACCTTCCATCTACATAAGTTAATTGGAAATTAATTACAGGTTAAGGAAGCATCTAAGCAGATTCTCGAAGAGATTTGTACTAGAGTTGGAAACAATCAATGTATTAAGCAACATTTTTGCCGAGAGTATATTAATCACTAGATAAAATCTTGTTAATTTAATATATTGAGCTAGTCTCGTTGTATTAATTGCTTCTTCCTTCCTCTTCGCTATCATCAGAATCGACTCTTCGACCTTATCCCTTTCTATTTAGATTGATAGTAGTCTTACTGTCTATATTCTTTTTGTGCCTATTACCAGGATGAACTCCTATTCCACCCTCATTTCCATTATTAGAAGCTTTATTCTAGCTAGAAAGCTCGTGTAACTTATTCTTAAAGATAGTGATGAATTCCTGAAGCTTATTTTACTCACCATAAAGACCTTTTATTGTTATCTTCCTGCACATTTTAATCTCATTTAAGGATATTTGAAGTCTAACAGCTGATATTTAAGAATCACTCTAGTTTTCTCGCTTACCATCCTAAAAGGGAAAACACCTCTGGAAAATTCTCTTTATTGAGAAAGGTTCTTTATTGACAGCAGTTGCTATATTTTAATCCATCTCGATTACTTAAAATCGCTAAGCTTTACAGATGCCAGAGAAAATCTCAAATATGTCATTGCCGGAGACACCTAGTGGAATATTTACTTTCATCTGGGGTAACTATGGCTTTAGTTGATAAGCAGCAAATTTAGCTTTTTATTACTATTGAGGGGTTTGTGTTCCCAAATTAATATTCTATATATCATCCGGGTCTTCATAACCTCCATCAGTATGAAATCTTTAAAAATATTTTGATACGTTTTTGTCTGCTTCATTTTAAATTTCCTAAATCTTCAAGATAAGCAAAATTTCTTTCCTTACATATAGATCCTAGGTGATAAATTTACTATCCTTTGATTCCTCGTCATTCTATGTGAAATTTTGATTTTTCTACATATTTAATTATCACGGGAATAATTACGTATTTGTTTTTATTCTTCGAGTTGGACCTTTTATCATTTACTATCACACCCTCGATAGGATTCAAATCTGAACTATTTCTTAAGAGATCTAGAGTCTAAGTTGTAGAAATGTCCATATCTAACACCCTTTTCAAATTTCTATTAGTATCTTGAATATGAGTGTCTGAATAATCGAATCTCGAAATATCTGCTTCCTCTGTATGTTTCGACTCGTCAACCATTTAGTTATAATGCACACTGTTGAATTCATCCTCTGGATGTGGGTTCTTTTTAGGCTAGTCTGTTGAATTCATTGACGATTTATCATTTTAAGAAGATGCTATAATCATTTTAGTATTAATTTATAATTTTATACAATTGATTTTAATTCCTCAACTATAATGTCAGAAGCTAACAACAATAAGACAAGCACTACAACTACCAAAAATCAAGAGTCAACTGCACCTTCCAACGAGCAATCAGATCTTCTCGAGCCTGAGAAAATAGGAGACTTTATCGTTGGTATGTATTATGATCTTTTAAGAAATTAGGAAAAACAATGGGCAGAGGCACTTTTGGGAAAGTAAAACTAGGGACACATACAAGCACTAATGAGAAAGTAAGGACTTTTAATGAAATGGCTTGATGATTTATAAATCTTAATAGGTGGCAATTAAAATACTTGATAAACAGAAAATAAAAGACTAATCCGACCTCGAGAGGATAAACAGGGAAATCAAAATTTTAAAAAAGCTTAGACACCCTCATGTAGTCTAACTTTTTGATGTAAGTTTTTTTACTTTCATGTTAAAGTGTTTTTAAGATTATTGAAAATGAAAGATATCTATATTTGATAATGGAGTACTGTAGCGGTGATCAGATTATGAAGTGCATAAGGAAAAACGGTAAACTTAAAGAGAGTGAAGCTTGCAAGTACTACTAATAGATAATATCCGGTATCGAATACATACATAAGATAGGTGTTGTTCATAGAGATATAAAGCCTGAAAATATCCTTCTCGATCATAATAATAATGTGAAGATAGTTGATTTTGGGTTGGGTAATTTGTATACAGCAGGTACTATGTTAAAAACAGCATGTGGTAGTCCTTGCTATGCCGCTCCTGAAATGACTAAAGGTTAAATTTACCATGGAATAATGACAGACATATGGAGCAGTGGTGTAGTTTTATTTGTAATGGTATCAGGTTAACTGCCATTTTAAGATCGTAATACAAATAAGTTATATCAAAAAATTTAAACTGCTGATTATAAGATGCCGGATTATCTTTCAGATCCTTTAAAAGATTTTATAAAGAGAATTTTAGTTCCAGATTGGAATTTAAGATATCGAATCGAGGATATTAGAGCACATCCCTGGTATAATATAGTAAAGCCGATAGAGAAGGATGGTATCATTTTAGACCGTTATGAGATATTAGTTGATGAAAAAATACTCGCAAGAATGGAATGAGACTATAAAGCCAATGTTGAAAAAGCAAAATAAGAAATTAAGCAAAATAAATTTACTTCAAACACTACTATTTACTATCTTCTTTTAAAAAGACATGAGCGTGTGGGAATATTAAGACAATAATTTTAAATTGACCTCTAGAAAAAGAAGCCTAAGGTTAATGTCTAGATGATATTAGATTAATAGCAACATTAAGAAGCTCTGTAAGAATTAAAGGAAGATTCGACACAGAAAACTGCTGATGGTTAGTAAAAACTAGATGTTCATAAACCTAGAGTTGAACATTCAACTGATGTTAATAGGTCTTAAATGTAACCTATAATTAAGCCAAGCGTTAATTTCATGTCTACAATAAATCCTGAGATTATGCTGCAGAATCACAATCATTAATAGGCTTAAGCATAACTCGTAGATCCATTTTCAAAGATTAATAATCCAAAGGCGAGAAAACTGATACAGAATGTTGACAGATAGCAAAGATAGGCAAGCAATACTCAAGATTAGAGACGTCATGACTCGACAGGTGGCAGTGATCATATTAATTTAGATTCAAGCTACACAACATAAGTACCTAACGCCAGAAACGCTTATCATGGAGGTAATAATATGATAAAAACAAATAGTAAAAACATCTCCCCTCAAGATATGATTAACATGAGTTTTAGTTAAAGCCCAAATATACTATTTGCAAATTAAACACAGGCAGGCTTTTACTAATCTAAAAATAATAACACTTCAGTTAATAGTGGAAGATAGTAAATACCATCTCCTTCATACTAAAATTACCTCTTCTCTGAGAAATTAACCCCCTCTCATTACAGGTCGCCCATTTAGATAAATTAGCTATTTACTCCTGGAAATCCAGTTATAATTGATGATCAAAGATAATAATAATTCATAAAAACAAGTACCATAAAGCCAGGAAGGCCAATCCCTAACAACTAGAAATAAAACGAAATCATATCAAATTTGTAAGAATATTAAGAAGTTGACGGCTTTAGAATATCATAAGTAAGTTCGTCTTTGGCAAAATATAGATCAGCCTCAAGATCACACGAACAACAACAATAATAACCATCACAAAAGATGAACAAAAAGTAAATCATCCCTCAAATCTTAAACTATAACTATAGAGCATCAATGAACTCAGGATTATAAACTCCAGCTATCTATGGGAAAAATAAGAATGGTAGTACTTTTACTGCTGGAAACACTAACGCTAAGATATAAAAGATTAAGGCACTAAATACATCATTTCAGGAGGCTCAATAAACCTTCACGAATTTTAATGACTCGATTGATATTGACCTGATGATGAATCCAAGTTTTCTTGGAAAGACATAAATCAATTTTGCAAAGAATATCATTACAAATCATAACTCAAGGATGGGAATCTCTTAGAAGAAATCCTCCCCTTAACCACAAAGTGGTAGATAAAACTCCCCGTAGCATCCTAAAAACCTATCATTTTAGATAGGTAATCCTAATCAAACTATAATAATCAGAAATCCCCCATAAGCTACTCATGTTAAACACAACAGTGAGCACTACTAAAAAATTACCTAAAATGATATTTTAAAGTCCAAAGCCGAGTTTAGAATTCGAAAGGCATAGGTAAACTTTGACAAGAAAATATATAACATAATAAATAGCTGAGGCTGAGACCCGAAAACAATTGAATAATGGAAAATCCAAGCATTTAAGCTTCTAAAATTATTCTTTTATATAAGTTATACAGACTTAATTTATTTAATAATTTATACGGATTAATATAAACTTCATGGGGTTTTGGGGTTTTGGGG